AAACAATTGATTTTTATTGATTATTTAGATGAATAATTCGTAATATTAACTTATATAATTAAACTCATAAATCTTTATATTGAATTTAGATTTTTAACTATGCTTTGGCTGGGCGATATTATATATTAATTCAAATTATCGGGCTTAATTGTTTAATTATTGAAATATGATTAATAAATCCTAGGATTAATTATTCTAATATTTTCGTTTTAATGATAGATATATTATAATCGCTATATTTGTCTTTAAAAAACATTTTTAATTAGCTCTTGGTATCGATTCTGAGATTATTTATTTGAAATTATAATTGGGATTTCTTCGTATATGGCAAATTTTACGTTAGAAATATATGCCTTATTTTATATTTTTGAATTTATTTTTCTAGATTCTTTTTAGATGAGCCTGCCGAAATAATAATTCGAGGTATATATATTTAAATAATAAATATATTTAAAATTCTAAGATAAATATACTCTAAATAAACAAAAAATATCTCATACCTTATATTAAAAAAGTATTTTCAGTTCGCTCCGATTTAATTGGGCTATATGGGAATTGAGCTCGGAATCTCGCGATAATTACGACAGAAGTATTCTTTGACGATAGAAATAACGATCTTGATAGCCGTCTAGCCTTAGGCGATCACCAATACTATAACAAGGACAAACGGCCCTAGACGATTACGATAATTTGAGATAAATATTTCATCTATGGCGTTTCTTGATCTTGAGTTGATATTCAAGATTATTATCATTATTCTTATATGAATCATTAAAATGACTGTATCCACGATTCATATCCATTGGCCTCTATTTGACTTAAATATATTAATAAATGAATATAATTCGTAATGAATCGACGAAAGATTCATTAATATATTTTTTCGTCGATCGCTTATCATTCGTTATTGGAAATAATGATATCATTCTAATATGAAAATTAAATAATATGATATTATAAATATTATAGTCAGAATAATATATGAAAATAAATTAGTAATAATCATATTCTTCCATATATATTCAATGATCTTCCTATCTATTTAAAATATTCTTAAAAAAACGATTTATTATCATTAATTAATGAAATCTTCTTATTTATGAATCTTAGAATCTATATCGATATGAAATTCTATTTAAGAGATTGTATTTTTTAATTTAATATTTTATTTATTTATATTACGCAGAGAAATTATGAGAATATTATATTCATAATTATCAATATTTTCTTCAATTCATAATATAAACATTATTCTCTTTATTGAATCTTGATTCTATATATATATATATCTTATATTAAAATATATATTTCAATTTCTTGATATTTTAAATTATTATATAATATTTCAATTAAATGCAGAATCATTAATATTAAATAATTATCAATTATATTATCAATTAATCGAAAAAATTAACGCCCCATCAATCGATTTCCATCATTCGATTACAAACGAAAAATTAAAATTAAGAAAATTTATGTAAAAATTATATTTTACCTATATATTATTTGTCACTCTAATTTAACTTATTTTTGGCGTTTATTTAACGATAGAATTTCATTAATATTTCGATTTTATATGTAATAGAATTATTTTAATTTTATATAAAAAGACAGAATACCACTTTAGATATCAAGATTTTTCTAAAATTTCTAAATCTAATTTAAATATACTCAAAAATATTAAAATAAATTCAATAAAATATCGAATCAAATCTAAATCGCGAATCTAATTCTTCCTATCTCCAGATTATAGCGAATATTCCGCCATTCTTATATTTTTTTTGCACTTTAGTTCATAAATTCCAATAAATATAAATATAAATGCAAATCCTATATTATGGTATTCCAATATTCAATTAATATTTTTCCTTATCGCTCTTCTTCTTTCTCTCTTTTACCTTAACTCTCCGAACTATTATATATACTTATTTAGACAAAATATAACAATACGAAAAATCATATTTAACAAAACATACCATATTATTAAATCATGCCAAAAGAAATACCAAATTCAATTATAAAAATTACACAAAGCTAAATATATCAATAAAATTCACCAAACGCCAACAAATCCAATTTCAAAAAGTACCAATTTCAAATATCAAAGAAATATCAATCAACATCAAATTAGATATTTAATCACAAAACAATCCCTAATCACCAAATTCTTATAAAATTAATAAATATACATATAAACATATTACGTACTCTAAACAAACAAATTAATAGACAAATGCTATAGATCAATATACAAATAGATGTATAAATAAATCATGACAGACATAGACGAATACATGTACAAATATACACTCCGACTTACGGACAAATATACAAACACGAAATACATAGAGACACACAGACAAATACACCCCACACAAACACATACCGAGAGAGACACGCACACAGAGACGCACACACAAACACAAACACACAGAGACACTTACATTCAGAAAGCACGGGACTGGAGCCGCTACCAGAAATCTACAGAATTTTATTACTACGAAAATGTCGCTGTAAAACCACCAAGGTATAACTACCGAGCGATGTCGTAAAGCTACCAAAATCTCTAAGATTTTTTTCTGCCGAGATCTAAGTACACGCGGAACTAAAATTTCCAGGATTTTAGTCAGACAATACAACCAATAATACAAAAGACTTTCAATTAATATCACATCAAAAGACCAAGTCATCAGAGACCAAAGCGCACGAAGAAGCACAAGTACAAGCAACACAACACCATATTATTAGAGATTTTTTTCTAAACTTAGTTTAATATATGTGCAAGTCTCGAAAATTTCGAACGAAGTCTATATCAATGTATACTAATCAAATTCCGATTCGATATAATAAAATATAGGAATTAAGAATATATTTTCAATAAATGCCCAAAAATACATATATCGAAGCAAAGTTTCAGAATCAATAAAAAATAAAATTTCAATTAAATAAGTTAATTAACTAATTCAAATATATATATATATATATACATATTTTTGAAATATATTATCATATAATTATAGCTTGTGTATTTTGAATATCTTAACTTACAAGCATTTCAATATATATATATTATATATACATATATATATATATATGTATTAATCAATTTTGAATGATCTTCAAACTTCAATATGATCTATTGCTCATATAAAGACAAAAAGTTAGAGCTGTTTTAATATTTACCGTACTATCTGAAGATCTTTTTACGTCTTCTACCATCTCTAAATGCGATGCAGACAAACGAAAATAGTCGGACATGTATGGCATCCACGTGAGTCGTAGCTCGTGGGCAAGTGCTCCTCACAAGAACTTTTCCAGTTGATGCAAGCCCAGGCTCGGAAGAGCGGTCCCGAGCCTTTTGGCATCATAAGTCCTTCACCATCGCTTGATTGCTCTCAGGCAAGAGATGCTTGATTTTGCGGACCTTGTCCTGCCATCCCAGCATTTTAATGAGATCGAGAAAAGCTTCATCACAAGAGACCTCGCCAGCCCAAACGTCCCGAGTAGCATCCTTGCCATATCGGATGCCCAGATCTTGGCCAACCGGCTCCTTGTTGACAATCAGTCTCAAGCAGTCCTTTGCCACGTACATCACCACGGAATTGGCCGGCGACACGACCAGGGAAGTGCCTGCTACGATCAGTAGATCTGCCCCATTCAAATCATCGAGTTGCTCGAAGAACCTTGGCTAGTGAAACAACGCCCGAGGAGGCATTTGGAACACCAATGGTGCCAGTACAAGTGATAAGCACATGAACCACAAGTAAAATGCTGCAACCGACAGACGACAGAAGCCTATCTGACTGTGACAGTCAAGTGGCTCTGACGGGAGCGAGCTGCCAAAAAGAACAGTATTTGGTTTCACAAGTGGGGCGTTGCACCGTGGACAATTTATGTTAGAAGACTCTGCAGGCGCAGTGGGGTCTGTGCGATAAATGTCCTTCACATTCGTGCGGACTTGTGCGCAGAAGTCATCAAACGGCATCTCATAGCCACACCCTTCACATGACACTCGGGCCAAGCTTCCGTGGACGTTTGTGACAAGTTCCGGCGAGATGCCAGTTTGATAGTCCAAGCCGTCAATGTTTTGAGTGAACAAGCGCTTCAACAAGCCCTCCTCTTCCAGAAATCGCATGAACCAGTGTGTCAATGTTGCTTTCCACTGCTGCTGTTGCGTGCCCAGGATGAAAGGCCTTCGAACCTCGAGGTAAGGGAATTGGTTCTGAAAAAACATGTCCTTCATGACGACATTGACTGGGTCCATGCGCATGCGCTTGCGTTGCGCCTCCGTAGCAGTGATAAGCTCTGGCCGCAAGGAGTCGTACATGCCTCCCGGAGAGCGGAAATCTGGGATACCTGCGCCTGTCGAGGCACCTGCTCCTGTCAGGACATAGACAGACTTGCATGCACCGGACTTCAGGAATTCAGCGGTGCCAGCCAAATCCAGGCTTGGACGCGGCTTCATGGCTAAGCGGCTAATCGAAGACACTTTGGGACCCTTTGCTGTCTTAGAGCTGGCCTCATACATACGGCATAATTGATCTGGGGGGCATGAGCGCGTGTTGGACTTCGCTGCACAACTAAGCCATTCGAGCCATGGTTTCGACTATGTGAACGTGAGCTTGCAAGTCACGCTCCAGGTCATAGAAGCACTGCAATACCTAACTACATACATACGTTACAGGCATGCATGAGAGCTTCCGTAGCCCAGACCCAACCTGACAAACGATACTCTGCCAAAAAAATCGAGCACAATGTCCGTCAGGGTGCCAACTGGCTCTGAGGGCCACATCCACTATTTGACCGGACCAAACCTTCGGTGAATTTTTCTGCGTCGCACACAAACAATATGACTTGTCTCACCTTTGCCGAATCCTGTCTCTAACTTCACTTGAAAAAGGACTGAACGCAAATCGCGCAGCCCGCGTGCAACACCATCTCGCTGCTTAACGCAGACCAGAGACAGGGCGATTCAATGCAGGCATCTGGAAGATCATGAGTCATGAATGAGCTTTGCTCTTCTCAGTGACACATGTTCACTTGGCCTAACTCCAGGGTGACTCTTTGATGCTGCGCTCAGGTTGAACCATTAACTTGAAGCTGGATGCACCGTTTACTAAGTTTACTCCAAGTGTGGGGCGGGATAGACACTCCCTCTGCGACAGCCGAGCTCAAGATTCGGCAGCTCCTTCTTTTTTGTACGCTGTGACAACGGAGAACTTAAGTTTCACTCGACTGTTGCCAACTATGTACATCGCCGTACTGCACTTACAGCGGGTGGCCACTTGAAAAGCATGCCCAAAAATGTGTCCGTGATGAAGCTCGTTGAGTTGACAGACTGACCTTTGGGCTATTTTTGCCAAGGTGCTAGGCACGACGTAGTGCTTGCAGAGCATGGTTTCACGAACACTGACATTCCTACCTAGCCGAGCTAGCCACTCACAAAGGATTTAGCTTTTGTTCGGTCTGGCCCTGACAGTGGACTAACTCCCCTGCTCCTCAAGCTGTCGACTGGGCCTCGTCATGATGCCAGGATACGTTGCTCCTGTTCATGATGTCCAGCAGAACCATGCATCGCCTGCGCTGGGATGAGCAAGGGTTAAATGCACCACGAAATACTAACATAACAAACAAATAAGCCGATAAGTACACATGCAGTACGTTTCTACTGAATATATACTGTATGTATGTGCACATGTGTATATATATATATATAACACACACACACACATACACTGCGAAACATGGACTCCATGTGTGAGTGTGTATCAAGCTCCTGGCCTCATGGAGTCTCTCCCTTAATTCCTCTTTGGATCTGTACCTGCGGCTCTCGGGATGGGCCCTGTCGGGTTCACAACATGCTGCGACGTCTAGTCACGGAGGGTTTTAGGGTTTTTTTGTTGAGCACCCTCCACCCTATGAGGGCTTAGGGTTTGGGGTTCAGGGTGCTACCAGGCGCTGTCAAGACTTGCCCGGGATAGGCAGCGAGGCACGGAAATGAAGTGCGTTGTGAAGGCTGCGCCACAGGGCACAGGGGCAAATAGAGCTGGTTGGCGCAGGCGCGCGATCGTGGGAATCCACGTCCTGCAAAGGTTGCCCATTTCTGGAGAGGCTCCAGGGCCCAAGGCGCAGTCTACATGCCAAGATGGAGCTAGGATTCTCACGGCTTTCAATGCACTGATGCCTCAAGCAGACTCCACCTTCATGCAAAGCCATCGACACCTAAGACCTAGGGAGCTTCTCCATCGGCCTGCGGTCGAGTCTGGGAACACGTCCACGTGGAACGAATCGATACCTGGCATGCATTTCTTGCCTGCTTTCTCATGCGAGGCTTCTTCCCTGGCCCCTGATCTCCAGATCTAAAGACCGACCGCAGCCTCCGGGTGGAAATCGCGGGCAAGATGAAACGAAATCGAGGAAGCGAGACCGGTTCACCTTTGAAAGTGATGCTCAGGTAGATCCGTGCTTCCCTAACGCTCACCAGAAACTGTGGAGGGCGCCTGATCCATGTCCAGCAAGACAGCCTGCGAGCACAGTATCGTTATCTCAGAACAGAGAGTCGAGTGGCCCATCTCTAGGGCAGGAGCCACCAAGTGTTGGTACGCCGGCGATTGTTCAGTGAGACCACCTGGTTGTCATGCCACACAAATTGCGGGAGCAAGGCACAGGCGAGCCGGCTACCTGATGGACGCAGATGATCCAGTAACTCTTGCTCGCCCCACCTTGGCACTGCACTGCCCTGCCCGATGCTGCCCGTGCCGATCTCCACGGCTGGATTTTGCTGAGGGCCCGGCTCCACGGAGTCTTCCCCGCCTTTGCATCATTGCTCAATAAATGCTCACTTCGTGACTAACATCCCGTCCGGCTACTCTTGTTGAAGCCTGAGCAGCTTCTGCCGTGCACTCCGACTGCCATCGAAAGAGAATTGCGGCATGAGGGCGATGTGGATCGGCGCGTGCGACGACAGGGAGAGTGAGAGCGAGACAGTCAAACCACAAAGAGTTCAATATCGGACATGAGTAAAAACACAAAGCGACCATGAAGACAGCAACAGCAGCAACTGCTCGCCAACAAACGACTTCGCCATCTCGGCAGTCTTTGCCCAGGGCCCCGGCATATCATGTCGCGTAGCTCCAATGCACTGAAGGCACTGAAGCACTCTACCGGTATGACCTGTGCAGGCAGACTTACACTCCATGCCAGTGGTCACAGAGGGTTCCTTTAAACTACCTTGCGCGCTAGCTTCTTTGCTTCTTTAGGTCTTTAGGTGGCGTTTCTCCCGAAGGCCGGTTGTGGAAATTGCGGAAGGCTGGCTAGAAGCCTTCATCTTGCGGCTGGTTGCGATTTGTCGCGAGGAGTTCTGGAAATACTGCTCATCCTGTTCTTGCTTGCTTCGCCCGAGGTGGCTTCCGGGGATCTAGGCCTTGAAACCTCAAGCAAAAACGCCCTCCCTTGATGAGGCATGCATGGAGGAATGGGGAGAGCTGGGTGGCTGCATCCTTTCGTGATTAGCAGCACTGCTTCTGCAACTATGATTCTGGGTATGGTTGTGATTTTACATTTTGTTCTGGAGCCACGTGCTTCTGCAACAAAGTGAGGAATTCTTGAGAACTCGAATCTGTGTAAGGTTCTTACTAAAGGTCATCATGCACCAATATGAATGAGCTGCAGCTTAAATCGTCGTCAAAGTGACAGTCGTTGGTCGTATTAGTCGTCGTAGTAGCAGCAGCAGCAGTGGCAGTAGCAGTAGCAGTAGCAGTAGCAGTAGCAGTAGCAGTAGCAGAAATAGCAGTAGTAGCAGTAGCAGCAGCAGCAGCAGCAGCAGGAGCAGGAGGAGGAGGAGGAGGAGGAGTAGTAGTAGTAGTAGTAGGTAGTACGTAGTACGTAGTAGTAGTAGTACGTAGTAGTAGTAGTAGTAGTAGTAGTAGTAGTAGTGGTAGTAGTAGTAGTAGTAGTAGTACGTAGTAGTAGTAGTACGTAGTGGTAGTACGTAGTAGTAGTACGTAGTAGCAGTAGTAGTAGTAGTATAGTAGTAGTAGTAGTAGTAGTAGTAGTAGTAGGAGTAGTAGTAGTAGTAGTAGCAGCAGCAGCAGCAGCAGCAGCAGCTGCAGTAGTTTGAACTGCTCCGCCTCGTCCAAGCCCTCTCGGAAGGCTGTGAGCTGACCCCTTACTCCTTGAGAGGCAATTGGTCTTGCATGACTGCAAAATTTTAAGCTCGGTGCAGGTGTCAATGCTGTTTTGTCGTTAATATTTTGCCAAGTATCTCGTTGCTAGGATGTTCATGCTTATTGCTGCTATTGCTGTGCAGTCATCGCCTCGCTATTCCAAGAGCATTGCTGCGACTAAGACTATTCTTTTCGGCTCGTGGGTTAGGAAAAGTCAGTTCTCGGGCTTGGAGCTCCTCCTAGTTCCGCGGTTCTGTGTTTCTTGTGGATTGTGGGGTTAGCGTTGCTTGCTTTGGCCAGCTATGATTCTGAGCAAGCCGCCATCATCGCACCAGTAAGCGTGGGCGAGTTCGACGAACTCCTCGACATTCTCGACCTGTGACCACTTGAACTCCCATGGCCAACGAACCACTCTATCGCTACAATCCAAGGAGGATGTGTGATGTCGTGCCTTAGATCAGACTAACCGCGGCCCGGGCTGTGACAGACCGATCAGCACCACCCGGACACAAAGGAGCACCACTGAGGCCCGTCTCCAAGAAGCTGACCTTAATGACTTGTCAACAAACCCTCTGCATACACCCCTAAACCGGGCAAAAGTGCCGGACACCAACCAAGGACATATAGTCCTCGAAAGACATTGGCTCAGGGATAGCTCCTGAGAAATTGCGGAGTGGCATTTTTGATGCTGCTTGGCGGTACCAGGCCTGCTGCCAGAAACCGCGTGGTGAAGTCTCGCTCCCGACCCTGAGATCTGCGCCTTGCGGCTCAGCACGTAGTCACGAGCGACCCCAAACGCGAAACCCTAACCAGAGGGGCGTGCCAGCTCCGCAGCTCTTCGGCCGGAGGCCTGCCTAGACCCGCCTGGAAGATGCGATCGCATGGGGTGTAGGTGGAGCTTGGGCAACCGCCACATACAGCGCTGAGACTCTGCGATGCGGAAGGCCTCTTCCCGCTTGCGGCGAAAAACTTCCTGCAATTCCAGCACAAGTGACCATGGCAGTTGCAAGCAGTGATGCTGTGGCTGAATGCGCCCGACCGCCAACTGCTCTGTATCCAAGGCAAACGTGGTGGGTGAATCTACAATCTATACCCGGTCGATGTGGTTCACTGCAAACCTGCTCTATGGCTAGCCCCGTTTCCTTCGATTTCTAAGTCTCTGTGAACCCCCTGCACGCCTCGCCCGACTTCAGCGCAGCAACGAAATCGGCCAAGGTGCCGCACAGCTCTCCGGCCTGGGCTGAAGTTACCGAGTCTGCTGGTTCTGACATGTTTCTGGCTTGGCTTGTCATGGCAGTCTTTACAACCGCAACTTCCCCTTGAAGCTCGCAATTCTTGAAGTCGCTCTCCGTCCTGCTGCTGCTGCTGCTGCTGCTGCTGCTGCTATGCCTGCCGCTCCAACTATCGTCATCATCCCTCATCAGTTCGTTTCGTTAGCAGCAGTAACCCATTATACTTAGTCTTGAAGGGTTGTCGAAGGGTAAGGCTCGAGCGCAGCCCGCTCCAGGCCTCCGAGCAAAGGCAAAGGACATCGCAGTGTGTCGAGAAAGCGGTTCCAAAGTTCTAGAGGTGTGTGCACAAAGGGTTCAACTGTTTCACGAAATCTGCACAACTTAGGAACACCAATGACGGTCCTGGGCAACGCTGCCAACGGTTCTCGTTTGCTGCTCTCGTGCAGCTTGGCGGGCTTCTGACCCAAGAGAGTCCGGGCAAAAAAGACCTGCCGGGTCGCTTGTTGATCATTGCAGCGGTCTCGTGCCACTCTGCCAAGGTCATACTTGCGCTGTCCGTCCGGAGCAGGCCTCTCCCAGTGGCAATGGGACAATGAAGCCGTCCTTTAGTGCGCGCCCCACCAGGCGGCCCAGGAAGCGGAAACGGCGCTCGGCAGCCTGTGAAAGCGGGCAAATGCTTCTTTTTCCACGCATCGTACACCGCCTCATCTGATCGCTGCTCGAAAACTGCAAATCTGCGATTGGAGGGCAGGCCTCCCTCATTGAGCTGGATGGTGGTAGCGGACGCACCCACAGCCCGGAGCGGCAGCGTAGGTGCTGACCTTGTTTCGCTTATGCCTTCAGCGACTCCCCCGCCTACAGCCCTCCACGTCTTCCCGAAACGTGGTGGTGACGCCATGCTCCGGACACGCCTTCTTCGGGTCCGAGTGTACTTTTAGGAGGCCGACTGGACCCGCCGCCGCTGCCACTGCTGCCGCTGTTGCTTGAATCATCCTGTCACATGGCTTCCAGCATGTAGAAGCTGAGGGTTTCCCGTACCCGCCCCTGCGGGCCTCGACCCACATGGGAACCTTTCGGTTCGTGGCCCTGTTCTGCAGTGCCCTGGCAACCTGCAACCGAGAGCAAGATTCGGTTTGAAGCCTCACCAGCATGCAACCAGCCTCTGCATAAAAGGACCGCGTGACGGCGCTGCCGAAGCCCGTCTCCGTGTCAAACTGGACCTCTCCGAGGACAAGGATGATGGGTTATGATAGGGCTCACAGTAGAGCTCTAATCCCTAAACTCGTTAAACCTGAAATCCTGCCATTGTTTCAAGCAGCCCGGCCAGCTTTGCCACTCGATTCGAGCGGCGAACGAGAGGTCCGGAAGTGCCACGAACGTCAAGACCAGAAGCCCCAAACACACTAACCAACCAACCAACCAACACAAACACGCACGCAAAAGTATAAAGCTCCGAAACAATTCTCAAAAAGCCTCCGGCAAGAAGGGCCTCAAACTCCTTCAAACGGGGCCCAAGCCCAAAAGAGCTCTACCGCGCAGGCCTCCAGGAGGCGGTCCGATGGGGCGATTCGCTCCATCGCTGCTTCGGCCTTCTCTGTGCGACAGTACGGTCAGGGCATGTCAGGTGACACAGGATTCAGCAACTTGGTAGGAATCTCTGACACTTTGGTTGGGGGCACAGGTTTGCATTGAGATCGCATGGAAAGTTTCTGCTCAGCTAGGTTTGAAAGAACGGTGAAGGCCTTGGAGTATGCTTGCAAGGCTGGCGCAAGCAATAGTTACTGTCACTGAGCTCAACGCCACCAAGTCCTACAGCCTCAGCACTTAGATTCTTTGTACATTGTGTCATGCTGCAATAGGAAAATCGGTATGCTTCATTGCTTTGCGTACCACTAACACTGCAGTACTACATTATATAACTATATGGTATTGTATTGTATGACATGCTCCACTCCTCAGCAGTTGGACTCTCTCCTCTCACCGGCACGATGTGCTCCTGCTGCAGCAGGAGCTCGTCCGCATGATCTTCCGCGCTTCGCTCGCCGGTAACCTCAGAAGCATCATCATTATCACCAACACCAACCCGCACCATCATGATCATCATCATGATGATCATCATCATCACAAAGTCCGGCAGCATCGTTGTTGCAGTGACCTTTGTTTTTGGTGCGTTTTTGTTGTTGCCTGTGTCTTTGTCATTGTTGCAGTTGCTTTTGCTGGTTCTGCCTTCTGTTGCTGCTGCTTCTGCTTCTTTTGCTCCTGCTGCTGCAACTACTGAATTGGCTGTGGCTCCTAATCGTTAGCTCTTTTGCCGCGAGACGTTTGAGGGCTTCTAGTTCTCTTGAGCCATTGTCTGATCGCGCTGCTTTCCGCTCCCGCTGCTGGTTGCGGATGTTGCCACTGCTGTGACGCTTTTGTCATCAGTAGTTTTCTTGCATATTTTGCGCTTCTCGTGCAATCATCGCCTATGATATCTGAGAACCTGAACACAGTCCGCAGCAAACCTTCCAAGCTTCCAAGCAATGTCCTTGCTGTCTTTGGTGCTCAATCATGATACTCGCACAGACTCACAATGGGAAGAACCGACTCTCCCCAGGCGCCCGGCATCGCAAATCGGGCTGTCGGGACGACCTGGGAGGCGGAGGCTACCGCACTCTGCACTACTGTTGATGATATAATTTCTGAATTACCTTAAGGACCCTAAGCTATGGGAACTATGGTATATTCCTTACTATGGGTAATGCAGGATTTATATCATCAACCGTATGGTAGAGGCCCTGCACAAATCCGGAAGAGTTAGCAACTGAGCATGGAGGGATCAACAAGCGCCAAAGGCAGAGAGGGCCTGAATTGCGCTGAAGGCGGAGTAGAGTGCTCTGCAACGCGCCGAGCCAGAAGTCGGATCTGACCACGTGATCCTGGTGGAGAAAAGTGGGCTTTTGCCTGGACCGGCCTTGGGGTTGAGGACTCGACATATGCGGGACGAACAGGGAACCCTCGCTAGCATCTGCTGTGTCACTTATGTTCAGCCAAGTTCGTCTGAACCTCTGGCTCGCAGCACTATCCGCATTGATCTACCGGTCTGGGTGCCTCGATGTTCGACACTTCTTGCAAGAGCTCCTGGGAGACAGGAAGTGTGTGAGAATCGATTGACATGCTCTCCCAAGGACCTCGACTTTGCGGGGGTCGCCCTGCGTTGCTGCACCAAGTTCCGTCGGCAGGGAGTTGCGGCGACGCCTGGGAGGACCCCGCGCCGGGCTTCAGAAACATTCTGGCAGTTTTCACCAATTGTGGGCCAAGGAACAGGTATGGCCCGACCTGGCAAAAGTCTATCTACGATTCTCTGCTAGACGAACGTGAAAATCCAAGCGGCCTTGCTCTCTTGCGCCCAGTGTACAGCGAGCGATGGCCCAAGTGCAGTGTAGCGTAAGAGCATCTTTCGAGTCTGCAGGCCTCATCACGGCTGTCTGTGCTGTTAGATGGTGTTTTCTCGCGACTTATTACTTTTCAGCAGAACGGAACATTTCTTTTCAAGATCGAGCCAAGTCTCTGAACAGGAAAGGGCAAGCCCGTGGCAGCCTCGATTCAAAGCTTTGCATCTTCGCAAGAGCTTGCACCCATGTAGACAAGGATAGTGCTGCCAACGCTAAACTGCTAAACCGAGGCTCGTCGTTGCCCATAAAGGCAAAGCCCCACTCGAAACGCTGAGAGGATCCTCCGCTCAAGAGCAACGCCATCTCAGTGCAAAGTTCGGTCAGATCTTTTTGAGGTTGCCCCTGGGCACAGCTCCTCCAGCTGATGGCTCAACTTCCTCAGGGCAACACTGCGCAAGGCACACATCCCCACGACGATTAAGAATGCGGCCCGTCAGCCGCATACAAGTTCCATTTAAAACTTTTGACAAAGCCGCAACACAGAAACAATTCAACGCACTGCAACCAGCAAGCGCTTGTGCCGGCAAGCAGCCAGTCCAGCTTGCAATTCATCCAACTCAGGCCACTGACCTTGGCATCTTCTTGGAGGTTCACTGCAGCAAGCTTGAACAAGCCTAAATCCTGTTTCGGTACATTCTTGTACAGCTGGGCACCACTGAATCGCGGTGCTGTTGTTGCTGTTACCTTTCCATGCGGCCGTCGGCATGAAGGAATGCTCCCGAAGCCACCGCTCCGTACAACCCCCCCGTACTTGAAAGATCGTTGCGATACAGAGTGTGCTATCTATCGTGCAAGGACTCTCGGCGGAACAATCTAGCTGCCTTTTGAGGCTTCTGACCTGAACTCCAAGAGCTCTGCCTGTACCACTATACTAGACCATGATCATTAAGTAACCCCGAGCTGTAGTAGGGCCCTAGTACGATCATCGAGGCACCTGCAATGTTGAAACGCAAAAAGAAAGCCACGGCGTTTCGGCCCAAGGGGCCTGGCCAGCCTGTTGCCAAAGGACCGCGAGGAGCTCGAAAGCTTCCAGGACTTCTTCGTCTGCACCTGGGTCGTTGCAAACATCACATACCCATATCTCATGTTGAGTCTCTTGTTTCCATAGATATTCCTACAATATATTACATCAAATGTATGTGATAGAAAGCTGCTGTGGTCGAAATCAGTAACTAAGGTGGATGTTAATAGAGAGCGCAAAGGCCCAGGCCAGTTGTGTGTCCAATGCACTGCCTCGGCACAGAAGCGTTAAGAGTCGGAACCTTCTGCATCCTTACAGTGGAAGCCCCAAACACTGACCCGACATCTGTGCCACCGCCCCCCTTCTCTGCCAGCCTTAAAAGGCGGCGGATCTCTGTGGGTGGTGCTGCACCTGAAAGCCGTTCAGGCTCAGGCGTGGAATTCGACAGCGTTCATCAAATGTTTCACGACCACCGCTGTCTTCGCTTGAGTGATTGAGTGATTACCGACCAGAGACACCACGCCTTGGACAGTGAGTCCGCCCCCATCACCTTGGCACCAGGTAAAGGTCGCCAGGTTTAGCTCGAGCTCGCTGCTTGCATCGACAAAATGTGGTCATGAACGGAAATGTCAATTCCGGAGCACTGCAATGAGCGCGGCCCCTGGAACCTGCAGACCCAAACCTTTTCTGGAAGGTCCTCTCAAACCTTTAAGACGCCAAAATCCCAGAGTCCATTCTGCTCCTGTCTCGGGCGCAGGCCGGCAGGATGCAAAGTCGGGGACTGGTACAGGTCCCTCGCGACGAAGCTCGGAGAGCCCTTGGCAGCTGAAGCTCCGAAGGAGCTCCGGCCCAGTCTCTCAAGCCCTCGACGCAAAAGGACCCAGCCCTGCAACCTGGAATTCAGGCCCAAAGTTGCAGCTCAAGGCACCTCCGCGAACGTCTGGGAGCTCGCCTTGGCGACAGGTGAAGGCAATTCAGAAACTCCGGAGGGAGAAAGCCCCTCTAAACGGGATTGTAGCATGTAGATCTGAATCCTTACGTCCTCAAGTGCTTCCGAGACGATCCAGCTGCAGCCATGGAGCCCGCCGCAGTCGCTTGGTGCTGGGCCCTGCAGGGCTCTGCCGGGGGCTCATCCAGGGGCTCCAAGGGCTCTGCGGCGCCAACGCTGCCGGACTACCTTGTGAGGGTCAGGGTTTGCAGATGTTTGCAGACCTCCACAGATACACTTGAAAAGAAAAAATTGGGCAAGAGTCATGGCCCGAGTTGCTACCTAACCCGGAGCTCTCTGCAACTCGGGTACGTCCCGGGCTCGCCGTGACTGGCGTCGACGGCAAAGACAGGGGTGGAAGCATGGACCTCTCCGTGCCGATTCGGCTGCACAGCTCTTACATGACCAACGGCCCGCGAATCTCCGCACGAAACCCCAAACCCGCGTAACCCTAAATCCTAATCCCCAAAACCCTAAAACCCAAAGCCCTGAGTGCTGAAGCAAAGCCGACCCCCCCTCCATAAAAGCCCCTCCCTGCGAGGCGTCGGCAGGGAGCGCTCCGAGGGTCCCGAGGCCGTGGTGGAAGGCTCCGAGCTCTCTGCCAAAGGCCTGGGAAGCTGAGGGCTTTAGAGCTCAATGAGTTGGCTTTTAGGGTTTTTGGGCTTAGTGAGGCTTCGGGTTGATTTGTTTTTGCGGGATCGGCCCTTGCTGCCGGCCGGGTGCTGTGCCCTACTGTGGTTTACAGTTTATCGTTGTGGGTTTCGGCCCCAGGAGATAAGGGTTCCGGCGTCGGAAAGATTTAGGTTTTGGGGTTTGGCTTGCAGGAGCTTGGGAGATATCTTGATATTCTCGGGCATAAGGTTGCAATCTCTCGTACATTCTCTCTACGCATATATGTCTTATTGGTATTGGTATAAACATGTTGTAAATGTATTGGTGTACGCACTGAATTTTTTTGAACCACGTTTAAACCACAGAAAGCATATACTCTTACATACTTGAACATACAATCAACCAATACATATATATATACACATACACATATACACATACATACATACATACATACATACATACATATACCTACATATACATACATATACCTACATATACATACACATACATCAAGACTTTTCATGTCGACGGCAATCACAAAGCGGCTGGCACAAGAAACAGCAACGCAGTTTGAGCCACGGGTCCTGTCTCTGTGTCTCAAGTTGTCTGCTTCTGCAATCTCGGCTGAGGCTTGCTTGGTATCGGGCGGCAACGCGAAGGATTCCATGTCGAAAGAGTTGGTCGCCAGCTCGTCTCCCACTGCCCTCAGCAACCGTGTAACTATGCTCCCGATGACCCGCCGCTCACACGCTCAGAGCCCGGCGTTTCAGCGTCGATTGTTTCCTCAGTTGAAACACGGGTCTTCACTCCCTGCTGGCATGGCCATCAGCTGCTGCTGACCAGGCATCCAGGCTCTAGACCAGGTTGTGTTTAGCCAAGCATCGAGGAAATAGCCAACAAACCAGTTCTCCAGCGGCACTTTCTCCACTGCCCGACGTGGGAATGCCTGGTGGCTTCGTGTTGGGACGTGTGCATCAACTGTTCCTGGATGCACAGCGATGCGGGACCTGCTGATGCCCTGAATGCCATCGCAAAGTCCGGAAATCTCCATCAGCGAGCAACGCTGGGCTTGCATTCTCTATGTGAGGCTCCGGCGTGGTTGCTCTGCAATTTCTTCTCCTTCAAGCGAGGGAGTAGGGGCTGCGCGATGCGAGGCAACAGAGCACAACGTCGCAACACCGAAGCTCCTCCTGGAATTTGCCTTCCATCGAAGTGCTCTGGTGATCATGCAGAAACCTCGAAACTCTGAAGCTGCGCCGGTATGTGCTGATGCGCTCCGTGCCTTTTAAGCAAGAGCTGAAAAGCCAAGAGACTGCATGGTTTTCAAGAGGCTCCAATCAGCTGGAAGTGCAGGGGCTGCTAAGGCCTTGTTCTCCTGTCGTATGCCCAAGGACAGAAGTAGCAAATTCGATGACATGGACCGTCACTGCAGGAACCTTGCGAGGAGGAAGACCGAGGCGCACCTCACCAAGGCAATGGAGGCTGGGTTTAGGGATACGGTTTGCCATGGTTTCCCATTCTCGCGAGCAAGTTCGGCACCTGGAACTTCGGCGGTTGCAGCCACATGGCTTCTTTCGCCTCCATGGCCTCTTACCCAAAGAAGGGCTCCAATCTTAAAGGCTCCAGGGTTTAGCATTGGGGTTTGTTTAGGGCAGTATGGTCCAAGTCACAAGCAGAGCCTCTTCGTCTTCCTGGAGGTCCTCCCTCCCCAGGCGCAGAGCCTTCGGACGGGACCGTTCTCGGATGTCAAAGGCTTTCATGTCGGTACAGCGATGCCGCACTGCGTCGATAGTCATACAAATCACAATAATGATCATGATGCTCATCATGATGATACCAATGAAAAATTGGTGGGACCGAGAACCGTGCCACTGGATGCCCAAGCAGCGTGGTCGGATCCTGGCTGTGCGCAGGCCAGCCATGCTCAGCACCTCGCCTCTCCTAAACAAAAAAGATACCTCAAGCCTAAGCGGTAGGAATTTAAGTGTTCACCTGACTCTGATTATGACCCGGAGTGAAGCGTCCTGAGAATCGGCAGCACGTGCGAACGACGGCAACTCCCCTCGCAGGACATCCGCCAAAACGCCTCCGGCAACTTTTCAGCCAACGTCTCTGCTCTAGAGTTTCACAGCCTACACCCTAAAGCCCTAGCACTGTTAAACGAGAGAGGCCGCAAAGGCTCCTGACGGACGACATGGCTTTGAGGTTCTGGATGGCAGTTCCCGGGGCAGCCCCTGTTGCAGTTCACAAGCTTAGAACCTATTGATCCTCTTTTCACCGCTCCGGCAAGCAGCTTTCCACCCCTTTAGGCGACCCAAAGCCCTTGCACCCGAAGATTTCTCAGGTATCTTCTGGCCTTTGGCTGCACGATTGCGTGGGGTCTGGACGGCCTGCAGAGAAGCTCGAACTGGTGCTGTCTTTCACGGCTGGGCCTTCTCTACTTCTGAGATCATGGCCCCGTCTGACTGGCTTTTGCTTCTGTGTCTCCGTGCGTTGATTGCCCCTTGTCACCGCGGAAGCGTGTGCCCGAGTCTCTCCCTGCGTCAGACTATGCCTCAGCTTCTTGCTCTGTCTGTTCGTTTCCGACTGTCCGTCTGATTCTTGCTTGCTTGCTTGCTTGCCGGGCGTTTGGGCAAAGGGCCCTCAGACCCCTCACCCTGCGCTCACGCGCTACGCCTGAGTCCACGTCTGTTTATGTCGGTGTGAGACTGCTTGTCTCTCTCTCTCTCTCGCTCTCTCTGCCTCTGTTGATCGAATGGATGAACGGCACGTGTTCTGGGTTGATTCCTACATTCTACATCGTAGTATCTGTCGACGTTCCGACATTTTGGGTCCACACCCTTCTCCAAAGCTCTGCTGATCCTTACGTTGTCTTGATCTACAAGTCTTAACCCATAAACCTGCCAAGCCACATCCAAAGCCCCTAAAAGCAACCCCAACCCTGATCCATGCGCAACTACTCAAACGAGCAACCCTGATCCATGCGCAACTACTCAAACTAGCAAACCGAAGTCACAGAGCCCTAGCACGGTAAACCGGAAGTCCTGAACCGTAGAACCTCAAACAACTACGGCTGCAAATTATGAAAGTCAAAGTTCATGCCCGAAGGCCCAGACTGCTGACATTCTTCGCGTGGGGCCTAAACCATAATAATAACAGCATTAACAACAACAATAATTATGATAATGATCGTAATCGTAATCGTGATAGCAATCGGAGAGCCGAGTAAGGCCAGAAGGACCGGCCTTACTCTCTGACTCCTCGGAAGCACGAAGGCTCGTGGCGATCCTGCCGCAGGCTTCAGGGTCAAATCTCAATTTCCTTCGTAGTGTCATTCAAATCTCTATCATTGCTGTTACTGATGTGGCTACTAGTGAGCTAGCGTTATCTTTCTGTCAACATGGCCGGTCGGCACATGAGACTTTCTCACATTGATCCGCCAAGAAATGATGCGGAACTATGACGACTAGTTGATGTTGCCTACTCTGCAGACAAGGCACAGCACGCTGACCATGTTGCAGGCTTGCTGCCGTGCACCACAAATCTCTATGAATACTGGCATGTTTAAGTATGCCCCCAGTGGACGGGCTGTCACTTAAAGCTTAGCAGCACTTGTCAGTCGCGTCTGATCCCACTTGCCCCAGAGCTGATCTGATAGTGGTCCTGCTGATCTCCAGCATCGGAGCCCCAATGGCCTGTTCATGTCGGCCGAAAGCCGCTTTCTGGGCCACAGCTCTCCCGAAATCATTGCAACAGAGGAGTCATGGCCTTGTCGAAGTCCACTGTGTCCGCTGCTCGTCGTCCACGGCTGTGGCCTTGCCGCGCCCGTGCTGCACCTATGGCTTCATGGTTTTAAAGCCAAGGTTGTTGGTATCCCCCTCGAGCCAGACTCACTGCTACAACTGCAAGGTGTCAGTCCTCATTATGTGAACAGGATACAGGGGATGTCGCTGTGATACCAAACCAACACATGCTGTCTCGGACAGTCAAGAGAGGACGGCCCCAAGCCACCGAAGAAACACCAAACCTCTAGTAAGCATCGTTTGACAGCGGTGTAGTGTGGGTGTGTGCGTATTGCTGTTTGTCATAGGATGCCATGTTGTGTCCAAGAATTTCACATCGACTTGAATTTCAACATTGCATGTCATGTCATTCGGTTTCCTGTCCTGTCAATGATCGGACAACTGAAACTTTCACGCCAACGCATCAGGGGCCCTTAAACTCTGCTTCGACCCGAACCGCTCTGTCTGCCAATCTTCGCCCAAGTCTCCGAAGCCCTAAACGCTAAATCCCAAGTCCTAAACTCCTGAAGCCTCAACACCCCAAACCCGAAAACCCCTAAACCGAACCCTAACGCCCCAAACCTTCTTAAGCCCCAAAAGCCCCAGGAGGGCGCCTTCCTCCTCCTGGTGCGAGGGCCCCGAGGCTTCGCTGCTCGATTCGAACCTCTGAGGCTGCTTTTTGAAACATGGGGCCATAGGGCATTGAATCCTTTTGAAGACTATACTATAATATCATTATAGTATACTATATTCTAGGGTCTAGCGGTAAATTATGTACGTCACACACTTGGCCCGGCGTGGATCCAATCTCAAACATGAAACTGCAAACAGAGACGAGGCCGTTTAGAAGACATGGAGAACGATCATTCCCGATAAAGCTAGCAGGGTGCACAAACCCAGAAGTCAAAAAAAAACCCAAAGGCTTCACAACCCAGGAACCTGCGTCCCGGAATCCTTGAAGCCCTAG